AACTGCTACAGTATAAAAGATGCACCAATATTTCTTAAAAATGTTGGGTAGTGAGGAGTAGTCACCTATTTTCTTATTTACATCATGCTATTAATGTTGCTCTTAACATATTCTTTTAAATCATCATTATTATTGTTGTTGTTAGGTACGATGTATGCTCTGCACACAAGTATTGTCTTACACTAACAATACTACATCGATGCTGAGACACCTGCGTGCCAATGGTTAAATTTGTCCACTAGAGGTCAGTGTTTCTCCGAGGCCTCAGACACGTCCAACCATTTGAGACAATATTGCGACTGAGGTGTTAATGCTTCACGAGGCTCCATTCGCCCATCACTAGTGAAAATGTTAAATTTGAACAAACTTATAAAAACTACCGAAACCATCCTGTAGGGATTCAGAAAGGCCGGAATAATTCTAACTGGAACTGATACTGAGTCTGACGACAGCTACACAGAAGAGAAAGTGGCGCTCTGTTTACCTACGGAGGTCGAGGAGTTACTCAGAAGTGACACTGAGGATGAAGAATTGAATGGATTTAGTGATTTGGAGTGAGATGGAGAGTTTGGTAAACTTGTTCTGTTCTGTTGTTTATGTTATATTTATCAGAAGAACTGTTCATATGTGACATTAACAGTCTGTTTTTCCCCATTCTATTGTTATTACTATAAGTTACTATAACCTTTCTACAAATGTTGGTTCCTAATCTCTGTTCAATAAAGTAAATTTCCCCCAAAAAGTGCAACTTATAGTCTGGTGTGACTTATATATGTTTTTTTCTTCTTCATTACACATTTTTTGGCTGGTGCGACTTATACTCTAGAGCAAATTATAGTCAGAAAAATACGGTAATTAACACTGTAAATGTTTCATTTTGATGCCCAAATTGGTGCACTGATAAATGAATAATGGTTTATGTTTAATAAGCTTCTAACTGTTCCTCATCTGAGGCTCACCGTGGCTCTTATATTTACTCCAATTCTTTGAGACTGCCAAAATTGGTAGCTCTCTGGCAATTTAGTTTCATAAATGTAACTCACTGGAGAAAAAAGGAAGAAGAATTTTATTACTCTTTGTTTTGTTTTGGTACTCTTGTTACTCTTGTTATTATATTATGTTGTGATGTGTGAGCTGCTGTGTCCAAATAATTTCCCTTGTGGATCAACAGAGTTTGTCTAAGTCTAAGCCTATGTTTTGTTGTGTTCTTGAGCAAGACACTTCACCTACTTTCCCTCGTATGAATGGGATGTGCGTGCTGATCTATTTTAATACAATTTCATTATTATTTTTGCTGCTACAATCATCTTTATCATCAATTTTTACTTTCTCAGCTCTATAACTTTAACTCATTTAGTTTCAAACCTTTCCGTTTCATTGGTATCGCCACTTAAGCGTGTTATGTCCCCTCCCCAGAGCCGAAAGTTCCACATACTTGCATTATTTGCTCTGTGCCTGGTCCAAGAAGTGCGGGGAAGCTGTAAATCTGCAGGAAACAAGACTCATTGGTTTTGTGGTGGTCCGTATGTTTACCCACGACGTATAACGCGACAGTTTAATTAGAAAAACAGAGAGGATGATGTAAAACGTGTGATAAATAACAGAGGAGTGTGTGTGAAATGTGGAGCGGGTTAGAGCTGAGACAGGAAGAGGCCCTGACAGACTGACATGTGGTTCTGCTCAAGCCTTTATGAAGAGTCTGTCTGAAGATCTGAGGGAGGCTTTGGTGTCATGGATATGGCAATTCTGTTTCTTTAAAGGTCCTGTATTGCACTAAACTGACTCGTGAGCTTTAATCCATGTTAGAACGCTGTTACCTCGTCAAAAACAGACCTGGAGTTGAGTTTTGTTTCACTCACACATGTTGAGTAATCCTGGTTTATTCATCTGACCACATTTTCAAAAGCGCAAAATGTTCTGGTTCAACTTGTGATGTCATGAAGTGGTAGCTTTCAAGTGAACAGCTCCTTTTACCTTTAGTTCAGTAGAGATTGGCAGTTCCAGGGCAAAAATTATCCAAATTGTTCTACTGAAGGTGTGTGGAATTACTGAGGCACTTCCTGTATTGCCATATGACATCACAAGGTGGAACGGACTGTTTTCAGTTTGAGAGAAGAGCTCAGCCTAAAAATGCATAATTTGTGTGTTAAAAATGTGTGAATGAAACAAAACACAACTCCAGAGATCAGGAAATAATGTAATAGAGGCCTTCAAAACCACAGTATGTAACTTTTTAACTAAATATACCAAACCAAACCAAATAGACTAAAATGAAAGTGGGCTTGCATCTCCACAAACCTGACTAGAGGAGGGCTTTCACATGCTTGGTTCCATGGAAATGTTGTTCCTTTGATTATAATATTGCACAGTACATGCCCACGGAGAGTGTTTAGAAGTACCATTTTAATTTTCTTTCTATTTCCATGGACTCATACAAATGACGTGTTGCCTCCAAAATCTTACATACTGTACCTTTAGTCTGGCAAAATAACATCTGAGAAATGGTTGTCTTGAAGATCTATGCAAATTGACGTGTGTGCCTCATTTGACAGCCTGTTTACAGAAGTAGCAGAGTTGTTAGCCCTCCTGTCACACACCAAGAGGGCCAGAGCTGCCCACGGTCACACTGTCATTTACATGTTCTCTCTACCACAGGAGTGTACAGCCCAGCTTAAATGTCATATATTACAGTGTTTCACAAACTTTTTTTCTGGGAAACCATATTTTAAAAGTCACAATTCTTCGCGACCCAAGTCAATAGGCATTATTACTAAATCACAAAATACATTTGTGAGCATTAATGAGGACATTTTATTGTTGACTGAGTGATCGTGTCTTTATGAACAATTAGTATTACTGTATTTTTTGGATTATAAAGCGCACCAGATTATTAGGCGCATTATCAGTAATGTTGACTCCTCTCGTCTGTTTTCATACATAAAGTGCAACAGATTATAAGATGCATTAAGCAAAACAAATGGACAACACTTGAGACTTTTTTTTTTAAATCTTTCCTATGAGGAGAACTCAAATATACAGTGAGTGATAATGTGTCAAATGCAGCTTTGTGCTTTGAGCTTTGTTTACGGGTTACAGAAAAGAAACTTTAAAACCACATGGCTCATTTGCATAAACTATAAGCGATAAAAAAAACTGCTTGATCCTTGTGCGCTGATGTGGTTCAGCTTCTGTCAGACTAAAGAACACGACTCAGTGGAATATGAGTGAAAATCTGTTCGACGTTAGTAAGAACAACCAGAATAAATACATAAAGCTCACCAGATTATAAGGCGCACTGTCGATTTTTCAGAAAATTAATGGATTTTAAGTGCGCCTTATAGTCAAAAAAAAAAAAAAAAAAAAAAAAAGGTACTGAAGATTTAAATAAGGAAAAACAGTAATCAGTGTTTCCCACAGAAAATTGGTTAGGCAAGGCGGTGCTGCCGAAAAACTGAGGAGCAGGGTGTGCGAGGAGATGTATGTGTATGTATATTTCAGACCTACAAGCAGATTGTGACAAAGCAACCCAAAAAAATCTCTTGTGACCCAACTGGGGGTTGCGACCCAGTCTTTGGGAAACAATGCTATATTGCACACAATTGACTCTTGTGAACTTTGAGCCATGTTATGATGTTACATCCTCAAAAACAGATCTGGAGTTGCGTTTGTTTCATTCACACATGTTTGAGTAACTTTGTTGTTAGACTGTCTACATCTCTAAAGCTCAAAATGCAGTAAAAGCTGTAGGTTTCAAGTTAACAGCTCCGCTTTACCTTTACTTCAGCAAAGATTTTCAATTCCAGGGCTGAAGAATCTAGTGAGGGTGTATGGAGCTTAAAACCACAGTGGAGCACTTCTTGTATTACCACATGACATCACAAGTTTTCACAGTGTTTTCAGTTTGAGAGAAGAACTCAGCCTAAATATGCAGATTTTAGTATCTGTATTAGAGCTGGGTATCATTAAGAAGTCGCCAATACGATATATACCTTCAGACATAGGCCACGATACGATACATATCTCGATACAGTGCACTTTTGATTCAGTTTGATTCAGTATCTATTCAATACAGTTAAAAAAAATAAAGTCTAAATCATGTCTGTGATACTAAAAGTCTTTGTTTCATATGTAAGTTCATATGAAACACAAACATTTTAATCATCAAAACAGTGAAAATGTCGAATGTGTAGCATAAACGAGTTTCCTTCCTCTGAACAAACAACAAAACTGTAGCTGTAACAAAATAATTTAACAAAATAAACCAAAAAATATTCTTGGTGATATATCGATACAGCAGCCCATGATATTGATACTGTATCATCACATTAAACGATACGATATATCAGTATTTCAGTATTTTTGCACACCCCTAATATGTATAGTATCGATTTGTGTGTTAAATGTGTGAATAAAACAAAACACAACTCCAGGTTTGTTTGTGATGAAGAAACAACAGAACATAGATCAAAAAATAGCGTAACATGGCTCTTTAAAAAACACAATACCACAGTGCTGAGTGTGCAAGTCTCTGAGTCTTGTACAGATGCTAAATAAATCTTCCTCCTCTTTACATTTACCCTACTTTTTCCAAAACGGAACAGCCCTACTTCATATATATTAAAAGTATATCACTCTGCAATGTTACCACAGACTCCTATAGGGACAAGCCTATAGTCCATTTTTGGATCTCAAATCACCGGTTGGTTTTGGTTGGCACCCCACCTCAGAAATTACACCGTGTGGCTTTACGTATGTACATTTGCATCCTTTCAGACTTCACTTGGCCCCGATCCACTTTCCACTCATGTTAAGTAAATATTGTCTGTATTTTCGACTCTGTCCAAAATTACAGATGTGAACAATCCCCATGGTTGACTTCAGAGGGTCCGGAGAAGAGGGTGGGGGAGCTCGGAAAAACGGGGGGCACAGAACGAACGGTGGGCTGGAAAGAATTAAAGAGGAGGAGAGAGGAGAGAGAAAGAGGGGGGAGAGGGAGAGAGAGGAGGTCCGGGTAGGGTCCTCGAGTCCCCAGATTTGAATTCGCACCAAGAAGACCAAGGGCTCAGGTATGTGAACGTTTGTCCTTGTGAAAGACTAAATGTTCAGAATGAGGACTTGCTGACAGCTGCAGTGTAGACGAGGGCTGCGGGGCCGGGGGGGCTTACCAGCTTTTATTAAATGTAGTTTTGGGGGCAATTACCAGGCTGTCCTCTGGATTCCTGCCGAGAGGGACCGCAGAGAATGTGCACGTTTAATTACCTTGAAAGGCTTAATAGTTAACCTTTATTGTTCCAATGTTTATATCACTTCCTTTAAAACAAGCAATGCAGCAATGACTGAAGTTTGTCTGTAAAGGTTTCGCAGAGTTAAGTTTTTTCTGCTTTTCTCAGCTGAAGGATCTTGCAGAAAAAGAAAAAAAAAGGGTTGCTTAGATGGTGGATCAGAATGTGGATGCAAAGGTTGGTGGTTCGAATCCCGCTCTTGACATGAATTCACTTGGAGATTTGATCCAGCTGTTGTGTCTATTTTCCAAGACAGATAGATAAGAGATAGAATAAAGAGCTTTTTCCAGTGTCCTTTATATTGGTTTTGTTGGTTCTTATTTGTAACAATAAATACAGACTTTTTGGGAGAAAAAACTTAACTCTTTATTGAGCATCTCAGACCTAGGAATGGTTCTAGATTCCTGCAGTCTTGAGTGCATAGCAACATATGGTTTTGTAATTATAACATTATGCACTACTCGCATGCATGACGTAAGACAAGTGGGGTGTCTTGCCCAAGGGAACAATGGTAGCGTGCATTGCCAGTAGTCAGAGGTGGGGACTTGCAAGTCGATTCAGACTTGAGTCACTATTGTTAGGACTTGAGACTTGATTTGATGAAATGGACTAAGACTTGGGACTCGACTTGGACTTGAAGGTCAGTGACTTGGGACTTGAACTGGACTTGAGCCCTGTGACTTGAGAAGACTTGATTCTTCTCCTAAAAAATATTGCTTTTAGAAAACTCTTTACAGTTGATAATTGCAGTGCAGAATTTTACAAACTGGAACATGTCCCTCCCACTTCTGTTTGTTACTTTGGATGTAACTGAAGTACTGTGATATCATCAAATGTACTACAATAATCTACAGTACAATACAGTAAAACAGAGGGAACTACAGAAAACGTGATCCTTCCATTTCAGTGCAGACTACATGACAAAATAACAGTTATTAACCTCTTTTAAATCTTAATTCTTTCTATTTTGACCGTAATGATTCACACTAAGATCTTGTCAAGACATTTAAAAAAGAAAAAAATTGCATTTCTACAACTCTTATATAAATACTCATATATTCCATGAGTTTTTACAGTTTAGTTGTATTAAATTAGTTTAGTACAATTTAGTTTAAAATTCATATAAATTGCAAAAATCTAAGCTATAGTTGGTACTTCGGTTTAAAGACTTGAAGCTCAAAGCAGATGACTTGGACTTGACTTGTACTTATGGCCCAGTGACTCAAGACTCGACTTGGGACTTGAGGTCAAACACTTGAGACTTACTTGAGACTCTTAAAACGACGACTTGGTCCCACTTGTGCCAGTAGTGAACATTGTGCACAGCTGGCCGTGTGAGCCCCTCCTACTTTCTGTTGAAGTCTGGAACTCCTCAAATCCTTAGAAACCCTGTGAGCGATTGCTTTTGTTTGAAACATACTGTATCTCACTCTGTGTACACTTAAGGAGCCATGTTTGTTGGGGCCCGAGTGGACTTAAAGTTTCTCTGTTTAATTAAAGTGCCCATATTACGCAATTCTCCAATCTATGTTCTAATGTTGTCTCCTAATCACAAACAGACCTGGACTTGTGTTTTGTTTCAGTCGCACATGTTTAATGCAAAATCCTGCAAATTTAGGTTCTTCTCAAACTGAAAACACCTTGTCATGTGGTAATACAGAAAGTGCCCACTGTGTTTTTAAACTCCGTCCGTCTTCATTAGAATCATTTGGTTGGATGATTTCAACCCTAGAACTGCTAATCTCTACTAAACTAAAGGTAAAAGGCCGTTGTTAACATGAAAACTACCACTTTGTGACATCACAAGGTGGAACAGAGAATTTTGAGGTTTGGAGATGTAGACAGACTAATAATATAGGCTTATTCAAACATGTGTGAATGGATAAGCACAACTCCATGTCTGTTTTTGAGGAGGTAACAGTGTTCTAACATGGCTTCGTTTAGGGGTTGAGACAAAAATCCGCACTAACCTTTGTGGCTTGAGCAAGATTTTGAACAGCTTATAGGGTCTGGCGTCAATGTTTATTCATTAAGTTGTGAAAGATTAAAGTAATTATTTAAATGCATTTGTAGACTGATTTTGTATTGTTTTATATGATGTCCCGAGAAGTCCACGACGTAATTTTTCTGGTAGAGGGTACATCTCCCGTCATGAATACGTTATTGCTTTGCCTTGAATGTTCCAAAACCTGGCATTTCTATTTCCATCTATCTATTTCCAAGAAAACAGACACATGACATCATCAGGCTAAGTTACAGGTCAGGTCTGTGGAAATGCAATCATAATAAGAATTCATGTCTTTTAGGCCATTTAATAGTAGCCAGGCTGGTACCACCTAGTGCCTCCGATCAATTTCATTTCTCTCCAGCGATTAGGTCAGGAATCAAAATACAGAAGATGGTTCGCAAAAACCCCAGAAGTGCAAGTTCGGGCACCAGCCAATCAGCGAAGAGCCATATATTCTGTGTTGACATCGATTCCTGAGATCGAGGAGTTAAAGTCGGAACAAAGAGAATGTTTGGTGAATTTTATCACGGGAAAAGACATTATTGCCCTTCTTCCTACGGGATTTGGGAAAAGCTTAATATATCAGTTAGTCCCGTTAGCAGCGCATTACATACGCCATGACCAAACAGCAGTGATTGCTTAAATAAAAATAAGTAACCGGCTACCGTCGAGTGAACAAATTCTAATGCTGCATCATTTGGTTCCACAAAGTGAAACCGAATGATGAATCAGGTTAATTTAATAGCAAAATCATAGTAACTGAGAAGATGCAAGATCGATGGATAGATGTTTAATGATATAATGCAGGTAAAGCAATAGCACCCAGGAAGACAAACCACCCCCACCTGAAATAAAATGCATCACAGTGTTGAGTTTGTGCTGTCTGCCCATGGGTTTCTGAATGATGAAACACTTGCCATAGCAATGAACAATTTATCACTAACTGTTACATCTTTTGAATGATGAATAGTTCTTAAAATGCCATTTACAAGTGGTGTTGCAATACTAACATTTCACAATTGGTTTCTATGCTAAGACATAGACCTGATACTGACTGATGATGATTGATGATTCCAATACTACACTGATCATTAAAACACTTTCTTTAGACAATAGAATGTGATTTTGAATCTTAAATTGTAGTACTTTCTTTTCTATTCCCATATAGCCATATATCTTTGTACTCCCTGAGTTGTCCAGGTTGGTTCCATAGTGTCCATGAGTCTCTGCTAGTCTACGTGCTCTTCTGCTTGTTCTGATACAGCTCAACATCAAAGAGAGAGAGCAATACTTTATTGTTTGTGAGGGAAATTCAGGTTTTCTTCTCAGTCCTCTTTGGTTCTCAGCGCAGTTTAACAGGAAGTGTGGTCAGGGAGGGTCAGCAGATCTGTGTCAGGGCAGTTTGAGGAGAGGACGTGCCAGAAGTGTCCCTCCTCAGAGTCCTGCAGCATCACAGACGTCATCCTTATTCTGATCTGGACGTGATGAAAATGATTTTTTCCCTTAAACTGTTTCTTCTGGAAAGTCTTCTGACACATTTGCTTTCACATATGGTGTAAAAACGCCTGTAGGATCTCAAACGTCAAAATGTTCTAAAGCTATTCAGGAAAGGTTCAGTTCTGTCTTGCAAATGTGACATTTTTTTGGTGTCGATAACTGCTCAAATGAGTATCTAATCCTACTACAAACAGAATGCTGAAATACAAATAAACACACATTTCTCCCCTTTGTTCCCAGTTCCCCATAAGGCCCCACCATGTCTCCAGTCTCCCTGCTGCTCCTCTGCTGCCTGCTCCCCTGCTCCCTGTGCTACACGCGGGACCCCTTCGCGTGGCTGTACGGGCGCGGGGGTCAGGCTCCGGCAGCTCTCCAGGCCGACCGCACCGGGGGGGACTGTCCGGAGGTGTGCGACTGTCCCCCCTCTTACCCCGTGGCCATGTACTGTGACGGCCGCGGCCTCACCTCCATGCCCACCATCCCCGAGAGGATCAAGTACCTGTACCTCCAGAACAACCAGATCTCCGCCATGCCCGACAGCGCCATGGTCAACGCCTCCAACCTGGTGTGGCTCATGATGCACCACAACCAGCTTCGATCGGACGCCATTGGGAAGAAGGTACCGGCATGAGAATACAAATAATGAAATGGCTTTTTTTTTTTTTGTCTGCAGTCTGTTCTACTGTTTGGTTAAAGAGCCTGTATCTGATTTCAAACCATGATTATCAGGAGCATGTTTTAGCCATGCCCACTTAGTCCTACCTGCCTACTTTAAGAGAGAGAGGAAGAGAGAGATACTTTATTGATCCCAAGGGAAATTCAGGTTTTGCTGCAGCAACATTACACTTCGCTTCTCCGTCACCTTTGTGTCTCTCAGTCAAAGGTCTCAGTGCAGTTTAACAGGAGGACTGGTCGGGGGGGGCAGCAGATCCTGTGGAACTGTGGAAGAGCCAGTGTCTCTCCTCTCTGTCCTGCAGAATCACAGCAGTGTCCAGGGGAAGCCAGGTGAACACAACAGGAAATGCCTCACTTTTACTCCACTCTGGTTTTCAGTTGATGATGAAATTGGCCATTCCCTCAAAATATTTCCTCTGGAAGGTCTTCTGACCCCCTTTTTGTCCCACCATGACAGAGAATCACGTGTCTGTGATGGTGTCAGGCCGCAATATTCCTAACTGGTTATAAAAAGTGACCCTGGCAGTAGCTTCTTTATTAGTTGTGAAAAATCTCTCAGTTGTCCAGGTAGAATCCATGGCAAAAGGAGAAATTCTATTTGACAACTGGACAAAAGTTCATTTGGTCGAATAGGTTTTGCAGCTCATCCAAACTGCTTCCTCAGTTCTGGTCAAAAGTCAGAGGTCAGAGGTGTGAAAGTACCTCTGACCTCTGACTGAATGGTTATGCTAATATGACCTCATATTCAGTGCAGTTCAATAGACCTAACTAACAGAAATGTAAACAAGTAGGTCTGTTAGTTTCAGAGTAGTTTCAGGGTAGTTAGCTCCTCCCTTCAGGCAGATATAAGGAAGTGTCCACCAGAATTTTGACCAGAACTGAAGGTATTTGGCCAAATAAACTTTTGTTCAGTTGACAAATTGAATTTCTCCTTTTGCCTTCTATATTAGTTATCACTTGAGAGAATGCATTTTTTTCTTATTTAGCAGCTTTTACCACACAAAGCATGACATAATGAGCAATTTATCTTGATGATAATATGTTAAAATCAGGTACTGGGCCTTTGACTGTTTATAACCCTAACTAGTTCAAACATTCTACACACTGAAGATAATAAAATGTTAGTCTTTTATGTTTCTTTCCCCAATTTATTTCCCTCCATTATATATAGTTTGTCACTTGGGCTTAGTAGTGTCTTTAGTGTCACCACAACCACACTGGGATTAAACCAGGATTAGAACAGGTCCAAGTCTACATTAGGACTAAACTAAAGTTAGGACTAAACCAGAAAAACACACTTAAACACACTTTCATTCATTCATCGGTTACTGGTTTGTTATTATTCAAACAAAAGTCATACATAGCAGAGTTTGGCACTTAAATCTATAGTTCAATGAGTGCTTTATTGTTGTAATCTTGTCTAGACTATTTCTTTAGATTCAGTTCAAACCTGTTGTCACATATGTATTTCCTCACATGTGGTGTGAAAGGTCCAGACACACTGGTATCTGTTGCAGTGTGTTGGCTAATGCCTCACAGGTGAAACCGTTCAAGTGTCTGACATTTATTCAGAGCAGTTCCAGAGTTAAGTAACAAATATGTGGTCTGCTTTTGCGTCCTTCTTTAATAACACATTTAGTAATATTAAAATCTCCACACTGAACACGTAACTCCATGAATAAATAAATAAATAAACAAACAGATAATAATCTCTGTGCAAGACATGCGTTCATTCCATTCCATTCAAATGTGCACATACACTGAACAAATAACTTACGTAAAATAAATATTTCCTGCAGAGCTTTTAACCATATTATACCAGTAGTTTTTTCCCCTTCTCACTTGCCCACTCAGAGTTGAATTTAGAGTGATTTATGCATGTTGGTATAATCTTTATTCTCCTATATTCAAGCCATCATCGCTTTGATCAAACCCCATTTTCATTGCCACCAGTACATGCTCACTGATCTGGCTCACACCACACTGATATGTTGAGTTCCAACTATAGATTGTAAATTTAAATGGACATAGCTAATGATTTGGCCACCATGTTCCAAATAGAAAGCTCACATGTGGACTCTTCCAGGTCCTACTGACCCTGGCTTCAACTCACTTGCATTGGAATATTGTGGCCCCTCTCCCTTTAACTGCTGCAGTGACTCTTGTTAATTTAGTTTTAATATGTCTGTATTAACCCGCTCTGCACGATCCTGGTGTTATTTTGCTATTTTGTCTGTAAAAAAAAAAAAAAAAATCCTATTCCTAATACAGAGCCTGTCTACAAATTTGTCCCTGTAACTGCTGTGGGTGACGTCACATTAACTTAGTCCACTTTGTTATACAGTCTATGATTCTAATATGATCAGTCTGGAGACATCAGAAAACATGGAACGTCATGACGATTGTTTGAATATGACTGGTCAAAGGGTCACAACAGTAGAACAAGCAGAAAAATGTAACTTTAGTTACATCCAGTTGAGAGAAAAACACAAACACCTTCTCTGTCCACAAACGTACAAAGTCTTACCTTCTGCACATTTTTTCACAAACAAAATGGTCTGTTCTGACGCTAAAATAGGCTGAAATATGATTTGTCACCTTCGCCATGTTTGTTTTGGTTTGTTTATCACACAAACCTAAATGCTTCTCTTGGTGTGCAAACCAAACTCATGCAGGCCAAGGTGGATTCTCAGAAATGTGTGAAATATCACAAGAATCTATCTTGTTGTGCAAGGTTACACTCCCGCTGCTCTGTCCTTACGTCATTCTCCAATGCTGATAGATGATAGAGCAACATCACATAGACATTTTTGCACAAAGTATAAAGTTTAAGTGAAGCGAGCATGATTTGCAGCTATCCATAGGAGGTTCCAACAGCATGCAACAGAGTAGCACTTTGTTGTGAGAATGTTTATGGTCATGTCTGCTCTCCTTGGACTCTGCACATTTCCAACACACAAAACAACAGACTTGTTCCTTTTATCAAGTTGTTTCTGGTCAATATTACAATTTAAAATGTTGAAAATATATAACATAAGGATTTACAGTGTTCTAAATTATAATTAGATAGAGCACAACTCACAAGGTCTTTCTCCATGTGTTTCTCTGTAGGCCTTCCTGAAGCTGGAGAAACTGGACCGTCTGTATCTCCAACACAACAATCTGAGCAGCGTCCCCTCCAACCTGCCCCGCTCCCTCCGAGACCTGCGCCTCAACCACAACTCCATCGAAAAGGTTCCAGCTCATTTCATATGATCAGGGCGAGAAGAGTTTGTATTTAAAGACCCAGTACACAATTATCCCCGTGTATTTGACTAAAGCCTTTTTATTCACCCAGCACACATATATTGTATAATCAGCTCTTGAGGTCAGAATAAATCACCACCTAAATATAAAGCACATTACTGTCCAATAATCAGGAGGCTAACACAGCAAAACTCCGCTCTGCTCTCTGAGAGTTGTGAACACATTAGGATGCTCAGAATGCATGAAGTAAATGAGGAATAACTTTGGACCATAACTTTGAAAAGTAATGTTTGAACCTTATGAGTGTTTGTTTGGGACTGGCTCCATAAATTTGCCCTATAAATATGAACTACAACAGTTGTTTCAGCTGACAGCAGTCACGTGTTTGGGGTTGAATAATGACACCTCTTTGTAAAGCTATTCAGAATTGATTTCATTTTATTTCTGCTCACAGAGAGGACGTTGAACTTTGTGCCACTTTTTGTTTAATAGGGCCAGTAAATACAATCATATGAACATAAACTAGGCCAACAAATGTGCAATCTGGCTGTTGTGCCATAAATTCCACTTGACCATCAGGCTTCCAGATGAGCTGACCTATATTATCTTAAGTAATACTTTTTTACTACTACAGCTACTACAACAAGTTTATTAAAATCTACCTTGATAAACCAGTATCAAATGTTTTGCAGGATGGAGGCTGTAAGAATGAACACACGTCTAGAGGCTCATTCTAGCCTCTTATAAATGCTATAACCATCAGTCTGTGGCTCTCCATCGGCCCTCGCAGTGGTCTGTGTTTTGAAATGTGACACATAATTTAAAAAAGTTTGGACATCTCTGGTTTAAACTGTGGAGATTGCAGAATATTGTGATGCCATGTGAATACCCAGTTCGCAAACTTTCTGTCTTAAAAACATGAAAAACAGAGCAAACAGAAACAGTTAAATAGTCCAAAGTTATCCCTCACTTACCTAATGCATCCTGAGCATCCACATTACTCACAGCGATGAGTTTATCAGCACAAGTTTTGTCACAGCGGTAAAGCTAACAACTACATATACAGTACAATGCTTTATAATTAGATGGAGACAGTACACAGTGGAGTTACTTTGACCTCAGCTGCTTATACAATATATCTAAAGTGTACAAAATAAATCGATAACATGGACACATCTTACTGATATGTTTTGGTCCAGATCACAGGAGCAGACTTCGAGGGCATGGATAACCTGACCGTCCTGTATCTCCACGATAACGTCATCTCAGAGATCAGCTCGTCTCTGAAGAGCCTGGCCTCTCTCACTCTGCTCGACATCAGTGGAAACAAGCTCAAAAAGGTGAGAGGCCAGACACAAGAGCACACCGCCTGCAGAGTTTTAATGACACAGGATGTATCTTGGTTTTTTGGTTGTTGTTTTTTTTCTGTTGTTTTATTTGAGCTGAAAATCATGCATTTTTACTGTGAACAGGCTTGCATCTCCACAAACCTTAATCTATTAGTTAGGCTAAATTTAATTTCTCTCCAGAGACTAGGTCAGGAATCAGAATACACTAGACGGTTTGCAAGAACCCTGGAAGTTGTAGACCATGCACTGGCCAGTCAGCGAAGAGCTGTGAAGCCATGATGTCAGATTCGTTGCGCCTGTCTGGGTCGCTTTTGTGATACAGCACAACAGTAAATAAAGCGTTGAGATGGATGTAGACGAAGACAGACATTCTGTGTTGGCAACAATTCCTAACATCGTGGATTTAAAGCCCGAACAAAGAGAATGTTTGGTGAATTTTATAAAGGGGAAAGACGCTATTGCCCTTCTTCCTATGGGATTTGGTGCATTACATATGTCACGTCCAAATAGCAGCGATTGGTTAAATATAAAAAGTACCTGCCTACCGTCAAGGGAACGAATCCTAATGCTGCGAGGTCAGACGGTTTCCACGAAGTGAAATTGGCTGAAGTGTCAGCCTATGAATCTACCATATAAGCATGTTTAAAAACCAACAGTCATACAAATAATGTAGTAAATAATCATTTAAAGGGGGCATGAGCGGCCTTTTCTAGATAAGCATTGAAGGAGGCACATTATGCAAAATGAACTCTTGTGAGCTTTAAGACATGTTAGAATTTTGTTACTTCCTCAGACAGAAACATACCTGGAGTTGTGTTTTGTTTCATTCATACATGTTTGAGTAAACCTGCATTATTTGTCTGTTTACATCTCCAAAGCTCTACCTTGTGAGCGGTAGTTTTCAAGTTAACACCTACCACCTTTATACCTTTTGTGCAGTGCAGATTGGCATTTCCAGGGCTGAAATGATCCAAATGATTCTAGTGAATGTGTATGGAGTTTAAAAACACAGTGGAGCAGTGTTTTCTGTTTGAGAGAAGAAATTTGAGAGAAGAAAAATATGCAGGGTTTGTGTGTTCAACATGTGTGTGAATCCTGTTTACCCCATTCGACCCCCTTTAAGTCACTATCAAAAAATCTTACAGGAGACCATCGCAACCCATGTGTGATCTGAGCGTATTAAGAGATGCAGACACTGGCTTTAATGTTACCCAACGACTTACAAATACTACGTGAGTTAAAGATGGAATTAGGACAGACACGGCGATCCTAAAGAGAAGCACTACTAACGGAAACTATTGCTTCATATGGAGGAGGATACAGACAGTTCAAACAATTAGGTTCTTAAGTCAGATTAAGATGTTACACAGAGGAGGAACTCGCGCTGGTTTAGATCAGGTCAAGCAGCTGAAAAATTTAATAAGTTTAATCTGTAGGAATCTAAGGATTCAAAACCAGGATTCTCTGGAGTTTTATTTGTACTTTGCGGCGGATATGAAGTCTACTGAAAAGATTATGAAGGTGGACAGTTTAAAGGTGCATATTTTGGCCAGGTTCTTCTCTCAGACAGAAAACACTCTGTTAAACAAAAGGTAAAATGAGCTGTTCACTTGAAAACTACCACTTGATGACATCACAAGGTGAAACAGAGCATTTTGACCTTTTGGAGATGCAGAGAGATAATAACTAACATGACTTAAAGCTCACAAGAGTCAGATTTGAGTAATATAGGAATATAAGGTTTAACAAAAGGAGGAGCAAAATATTTTTTACAAAAGTCATATGAGATTCGGGGAACTTAGCTGTGGCGTAAGAAGTGCTCCTCCTCTTGATGTGTGTAGATCTGCTTCTCCTTTTTCCCTTGGTTTAATTTATTTTTTCCATACTGATAAGATTTAGAACTGCAGCCAAAAAAAATGTTTGTCTCATCTCTCATAATGATGCATGTCTAAGTACATAAATGTTCTTCAAACCTGGTGTTTCTTAACCTATAGAAACAGTAACAGTCATAATGTGTTGCTATAGATTTTCCTTGTTTATAAGTTAATCTGTTTTAATGATTCTCTTGACCATGGACATATGTTGTAAGTCATTGTGTAATAACTTGAGATTACATGACTGCAGTCTACAGAGTTTCTGTAGCCCTTTAATAGTTTTCCGTCCCTTGTATTTGTGCCATGTGTATCATTCAGAGTATTCAGTCTGTTGACTTAACAGGTTGTATTTTGCTTTTGTCACCATCACTTTTTAAACTTTTTTTTTCAGCAACAGTATACATTAGGGGTGTAACAGTATATGTATTTGTGCTGAATTGTTTCGTACGGGACGTTTGGTTTGGTGCAGGTCTGTGCACGAGTGAGTTTGCACAATTTGTGTGTGTTTGCATCCCACCTCTGTGCAGCTACATTTCTTATTTCTTATTTTATTTATTTGTAAAGGGACAGCACATATTAATGAACATTAAAAATGTAAATATGTAAAGATTATAGCCAACATGGCTAATTTCCATCTTCAGTCCCTCGGCAGGTTGATGTAAAATCAAAGGTCAAAGGAAAGTACAGCAATAATCACACAAAAGTAAACAACACCAGCACACTCACTATACATACAATTAGTTTCAAACAGTTCATTTGAAGTTCAGAGTCAAGAGTTTAAGAGTTAAACCAAGAGTTAAACCAACGACCCCTCAAAATAAAAGAAAATGTAAATTGGTTAAACATGGTCACATATTTGACCATTGAACAACCACTGTTTTAAAGCTTTAGAAAATGCTGCCAATGTTGAAAGTTCTCATACATGGAAGGCTCAGCTCTTTAATATCCATGATTATGGTGGCAGTGTTTACCGCAGCGCCTTATAGTTAGGTTGGCCTTCTTGACAACAATTGCTTCCCTCCTTGACTACATCCCTCTGAACCAGCCCCGGTCCTCACTTTCGCCTTTCCCCGGCACAGAATCTCCACTTCCCCTCATACAATGTTTTTGGTGGATTCTGATAAACACAATTTCCTTTACACTGTAAAACTGGGGCTTTTCTGAATGATTAAATCTCATCCTAACCCTGCTTATTGTTTTGTCTGTGTCAGATCCCTGACTCTCTGCCCGCTCACCTGCACCAGCTCTACCTGGAGTCCAACTCCATTGACTCTGTCCCTGAGGGCTTTCTGGGCGGTTTCTCTCAGCTGCAGTACGTTCGTATGTCCCATAACCAGCTCACAGACAAAGGCATTCCCCCAAACACCTTCAACGTGAGCGGCCTGGTGGAGCTGGACCTGAGCTTCAACCGCCTAGAGCGCATCCCCATCGTCAGCTCCACCCTGCAGCATCTGTACCTGCAGGCCAACAGCATCAAAGGTACAACTGTGCAAGCCATACATGTCCACTTCAGATAAACGGTACAAAGATTATGTGATGAAATGTGATAAACAGAACCAGTTAATTTTAAATGGTTTGCAGTGGTTCATAGTTACCAAACTTACCTTACTTAATTTTAGCCATACAACAATTTTAAAATCCTCAATGCATCAGTGTTTTGCGATGAACAGACAATAACTCACGTACGCAGTGAGTGCTGCTGTAGTTTGCAGCTCACATGCTGTCACCTGTATCTGCACAGGCTAAAACACAGCTCTGGTGCGTTACATGTTGCTGTTCTAACATGCCGCTATTTAGACACTGATGTCTAATCATTGGGTTGTGACACTTTACTATTTCTTAAATATTGCACTTTTCCGACATGAATAATATTAATGTGAGAGCCTTTCATATATCATAAGATGCTTGGGCCAGTGGAAAGCCCTTGATCAGAGACAATTTTGGCCACATAGGATATCAGACAGTGGGAAAACCTCTAATCACCGTGGGAAATAGTCATGCATTTTAAAAAAAAGAACATAGGCCAGCCTTCGGGAAAATATCAAATCTAAGAAGAATTTAAAACAGCGAGAGATTTGCCTGGGTGACATGTCAGAAGAGCAATACTAAAAAGTGTCAGAAAATCAGCACATCTAAATAGAGACATGTCGTAAGCGAGGCATAGGTGTGAGCTGCAGCAATAAAGCACCTGACAAATGACACATCTCATGAACAATGCCACGCGACAGCCACAAAAGTTTGGTGACAAAAGCCTTGGACTATAAACAAAGCACTGCTAAAGATAACCGTGTCAATGGTTTACTGGCATACTTTTGTGATTTTTTGATTATAGTTTTGGCAGTTTAAACGTGCACGTATGTCCACAGCTCTGCACACAGCGTGAGGTCATTTTCACCGTGATGAGTTTATAAGTACTTTTCTTACTTTCAGAGAACAGAGTGAAGTTTTGTCATACCGGTAAAGCAACAACTAGCATGCTAATTGCCTACTTTGAAGTCTGTTCCTGTTCTGAGAATAAATTTCACTGAAAAAAACAAATCTGATTATGCAACATGTTTGGTTCTGGCTGGAGACACGATGGTGGATGTCGAGACCTCTGTAACTCTGTTTGAAAAATACATGGTTATGAGTCTGGACAGGTAATGGTTTGGGCCCATATTCAGAGATCTAGTTTTCTGACAGTCCTCTCTCTTTCTCCCCATCTCTTTCCCACTCTCTCACCCTCCCCGTCCCAATCCTCCCCTTCTCTCGTGTGCAGAGTTCACCCTGGGGAGTTTCTGCAGTATGGTGGACATCTCAAACTTCTCCAGACTGCGCACGCTTCGTTTGGACGGGAACGAGATCGGGCGAGAGGACATCCCGTCCGAGTCGTCCCAGTGTCTGCGCCAGGCGTCTGAGATCAACATCTGAACACGCCTCTGAGATCAACATCCAAACACGCCTCTCTGTTTGAAGAGAGAGCCATACAATATACACTTTATGTTTTCAACTTCCTGCTCATAGTCAACATTTTGGGTACTTTTCACCATTCAAAAGATGGAATATTTTGTTTTGAATTGCTATGGCAACAGCGTCAATTGTCCATTTAGGCGGAGGCCAGGAAAATAACTTGTTACTGTGATGATGGTGTGGTTAGATAAGACTTCTTTGTTACGTACTGTATGTGATAAAAGATCTGCCTTTTAAAGATTCTTTGTGTATTTTTGATTAAAATGTAGAAGAATTAAAACAATACTCACAGTGACCTTGAGACAATATTGATACTTTGCAGTCATATCACTCTGGAGGTGTTCTACATTGCATCTATGATGGAATGTTCAGCATTTACCATGGAGGCACAATGCACACATTAGCAAACTCTGACAAAAAACTAAATGGAATTTAACAACATATTTTCAGGATCCTGTGGTGCATCCGAGCGTTCATGGTCCTGTTCAAGGGTTTGATTTTGGCTAATGCTGCCTTGTGACTGTAATTTAATGTGTGAGAGACTTGTTTAAGTGCACAAATCAGCTCACTTGTAGTTCCAGCTTGAGTAACAGAGCTTTAGACAGAGCCTTGCCTCCAGTTAGCGTCACACCCCAGCTGCAAAGTATCAGTACAGTAGTTCACATATAGGGCCTAACTTACTGTAGTGTGTGGTACTTCTAATATCATTCTGTCTCCATTTATCATTTAAGTCTGTTTGCAATAAGAAACAAAGAGTATGAAACCATGTTAATCACATTTAGTGTTTGTTTGTATGTTGTTTTTTTAACCTTTTTTTTTTTTTACTTTTAGGGCAGTGTGCAAAATGTGTATTCTCTCTTTTACTATTTCATTATGAGACAAATAGATTCTTGTGTTTTATTGTGAGCTTTGAATTTCAGGTTATGATGAAAATGTGAGTAAAATGTTGCATGAATAAGCTTTACACTGACAAAGGTTTGACTGTTTAAGAGCCTGTTTCAAATAAAGAGTTGATTTTTTTTCTTCATGACACATGTTTCTGTTTCAGTGTTTCTTTTTTACATTTGATGATTTGACAGGATCATCTTATGATATCACTAATAGTGTTTTCAGGTCGACACAGAACCGTGCCGGTTTCTGAACCTAATCTTGAACATACTGACACGTTCACGTCGAAAATTCGAGCGTTCAGGAACCAACAAGTAAAAGTAAAACTTGCTTTTTCTAAGTGAACAGTGACGTCACAGAAGACATCAGCGGGTTCATCCGGATCACACACAGTGAAATAAATAAACAAAGAAAACGTGTGTGTGGAATATGGTGGTGGTAAGGTTACAACTTTGAACCGGGTGTCACTCCCGCCTTCTCCACAGCAGATGTTGTAGCAGAGCTTGGTGCAGATAAATAATAATTTGTATGAGTACAAATGCTCGCTGGTGTCGATGATGTGATCCATGATTTTTATTTTTCTCGCTGTGACATCCTTGGCCTTGTTTTTATTTGGTGGCAAATCCACACTCTCTGTCAACTTTGGTTCCCTGGTGCGGGAACCGGCACTGGCATCATTCTGGGCGGTGATAATAAAAACACTTTCTTTAGACAGTAGAATATGATTCAGTAAATTGTAGAACTTTCTTTTATATTTTGTATTTGCATGTGACCTTATATCTGTGTGTAATCCCTCTGTCGTCCAGGAGGTTCCATACTGGTCTATGGAGCACCTCCTCTGGACAGCTGTGATAACAGTAGCGAGTCGCAGATTTATTTTCCATTAGTGCAAGAATAGCTATGCAATGCAGAAAATGTCTCCACATATGATTGAGAAAACAAAATTGAAGAAGGGAGTAAGTAGGTCACAGTGGGTGTGTGTGGTGAAACTACAAGTCAATTGGGACAATAACATGTTGAAAACAGGAGAATAAAGATTACTCAAACATGAATGATTCACTCCAACTATAACTTCAATTTGAGAAATGAAACAATCACAATGTAGTATCAAAGTCATTTTCCATAAGAGGTCTCTGTTAACTTTGTAATAAAAGAAGAAATGGTGTACTATTCTGTTTTACTGGCACCGTGGCTTTCCAAAGAATGACTCTGTTTACACTAAGATCAACAGGTGGGTCCTGAAATACCTCGAAATAAGGAAATTACTCACAGCTCTTTAAATGAAGCTTGTTTGTCCTCTTTGTTAACTAAAGAGATCAAATCCACTCGGCTTTGAATCAGTTCACTCAAGTGTTAAACTAACTGGAGAGGAGAGAGACATAATATTTGCTTATTTGATTTGTTTTAGTCCTTGAGCAAGACACTTCATCCATCTTCCCTGAATGAATGTGTTACTGAGATGCGTGTGAGGAGAGAGACATTTGCAGGTTGTACAGTGCACATATCAAAAGTGCACTGTACAACCTGCTTGTTTCCATGGAGATACCATTGTTTTGCCTGAAATGTTCCACAGTGTGATATTTAAACATATTTACCTCTATGGAGACAAGAGAGCGCCTCATACGACTGTTGTCACAATACTAAAATGTCAAACATTCCAAGGAACAAACTCACTACTCGATACTGATTCCAGTACCATAATGATAATAAAAACACTTGCTTTAGGCAATAGAGTGTGATTTTTAACATTAAATCGTAGTACTTTGTTTTCTATTCACATGTGACCATATATGTGTGTAATCCCTCAGTGGCCCAGGTTCATTTCTGTCCTGTGAATGTGACTTTTAGTATTGATACCTGCTCAAATGAGTATTTAGTTTTGATACTGTGCATACATTTATTGTGCAATGCCCCTGTCACATAAATAAATAAATATAATATACGTACAAGATATTAGTTTTAGTATCTATTAGTATCTGACTTCCGATACTTTTGACAATTCCACAACAAAATGCAGGTATTTTTTAGCCAGGCTGGCACCACCTAGTGCCTCCACTCAATTTCATTTCTCTCCAGTTACTAGATCAGGAATCAGAATACACTATAGTTTGCAAGAACCCTGGAAGTGTGAGTTCGGGAACCAGCCAATCAGTGAAGAGCCATATATTCTGTGTTGGCAACGATTCCCAAGATTGAGGATTACCAGAAAAAGTGACATGAACCCAGTGGTGGAAGAAGTACATATACCAAAGCAAAGAAATACTCAAGTAAAAATAAAAGTGTTACATCAAAAACAATCATAAGTAAAAGTATTACCTGCTATTGAGCAGCAGTCTATGGCCCTTGATCGGCCCTCTGCGTCATCTGTGTTTAGATATGTGGCCCTTGATGAAAAAAGTACATTGATTTGCCTAATCACTCCTGACAAACCACTGATAAAATTCTCCCTGTGCAGTTGTTGTATGTAGTCTCATATTTTTACAGAGTGACTCTTTTGACCACTTTACGTCATGTTTACTGTGGTTTTGTGTTGTCAACCACAGAATTCCTCCTCCCCCTCCTCCGCTTCACTTAAACCTGCTCTAAACTTAGACATGACTGTTCACTCTGTATCTTCTGAACCACACAGATCAAACAATGTACAGTAAATGGTAAACGGTCACGTTTTTATACAGCGCTTTTCCACCTTCAAGGCTCTCGAAACGCTTCACAACAACAAACACACACACATAAATACACCAGTGTTTGCAAACACTAGGGGTGAGGTGGGTTAAGTGTCTTGCTCAAGGACACAACAACAGCATTCAATCTATTGGTCTAACAGTTCAGCGGATTCGAAACACCAACTTTCAGACGAACACTCTACTGACTGAGTTACTGCCGCCCCAGTGTAAATATCATTTTTTACTCCTTTGCCACACCTAAACAAATACATGTGTGAAGTACTTGCAATCAGACGTGGATAGTTACATTTACTTGAGTAACTTTTTAAGATATTGTGCTTTTCAGAGTACTTTTCTAGCAGCGTACTCTTACTATTGAAGTAACAGTACTTTTACTGGAGTAAAGGTTTTGGTTCCTCTTCCCACTGTGAGTAAGTCTACACATGACAAAAGATTTTTGTTGACAGTATGAAAGTATTTGAACATTGCTCGTTTCTTGCACTTTAATTTCTTGGACCACTACTTTGTACTTCTACTTGAGTAATATTATTTTGAAGTAACATTACTCTTACTTAAATACAATTTTCCAGACAAAATTAACAGCTTGTGTTCATTTTAAGTTTAAGGTCATCTTAAGGTCATGATATGTGTACATAAAAAAAGACTGAAGTACACATATTGTCCTGTAGTTTTCCTTTGGCACAGTCAATCTAAAAGTGTTAAAGTTACAACATCATAAAACGTTTAAAAGATCAACAAAGTTGTTATTCTTGGTTCAATCATTAAATACGTGCACACAAGGAAAGAGAATCTGGGACAATGAGGAAGAGGAGGAGGAGGAGGTTCAAATACTTAAACACTACTTGGTGATATAGAGATACTGCAAATACTGCTGCTATACTACTACTACTACTACTACCTTTATTCACTATTGAACTGTATGTACCCTGCACTCTTACAGTACACTTCTGAATCACTTTGACATCTTTCTCTGTTGAAACTTGACATTTGCAAACTTCTCACACTCTGTCATCTCCTAAAAGTTTTATTAAAAACTCTCATACTTTGCTCATGTGTTTTCTGTGCTCTCACAGATGTAATAATTACATTTACAAATGTAATAACCAAACATAATAGCTGTTTGCACGTTTCCCCAGAAAGTCCTGGCCGCTGAAAGCAAGCGGGGGATACCAGAGCAATGAGATGAACCTCCTCACCAGTGTCATGTACCACCTCCTCTGGGAGGGTGACACGTCCTCACCTCGCTGGCTCTTCAGGACACTCATCGAGATTGGACTGTGCTTCCATTGCCATTGTCAATTTCCAAAACCTCCCAGATACATCTGGGGGAGATGTATCACTTGTCTGGCTCTCAGGGTCCTCAGTGATCTCAGATGCAAATATGTAAAC